GTAGGAAGTAGTCTTCAAGTTTGGTGATTCAGGTAGGTGCGTGCATAAGGAGGAATGCGAATATGTTTGAGGAAAAGAAGTCGATTGTACGACGTAACTGCACACTTGGTCAGAAGCAGGAGGCGGACCAATGGTGATGATATTGCGTACTAGGGTTAGGCTACACCAGCCAATGCACAAGCGATGGAGTTTGAATAAATAGAGGTGGCTCAGAGATTGGGATATTTACTTCAATCTGCTCACAATTGTGCTGCTGTGGCGAAGAGATCAAATTAAATGGTAGAACGCAGTTCTTCAGTGTGAAAGCAAATACAAGGGCGGAGCTGGCAGGTTTTAGTTTCTATGTGGATCGAGTGCACCATATGCTGCTTCGCGGCAACTGCGCGCAGTGCGTAAGTGATAAATCACCGGTCTGCCTGGATGCTGTGCTCGAGTACCTGGTCGCTGATTTGGTGGATGTAGCGAGTGGCGTAGCCGTCGACAATGAGATAGGGTGTATGTTCCCTCGTCACATGCATTTGGTTATTTGCGAAGACAAGGAGCTGAACAACTTGGCGGCGAATATGGCCACGCCACCCCATGGCGTGAAGACGGTTGGGGGTGGTGCTGCTGGCCATGAAAATAGATAAGTCCATGGGCATCAGGGAGTAGGGTGACTAAGTTCTTCATTATCATAGACGTGATATTGGCCCTCTTACGGGCCTCCTTAAAGGGGATAGTTATTCCGCATATCTTCCGAATGACTGATAGTTGCGTGCTGAGATGCAATATTGACCTGGATGCGGGAACGCAGAGGTGAGAGACGCGGTTGTGTTACAAGTTTGCAGACGTCCTCTGTCTTGTTGGCTTGAGGGCTGTATCAGTCGATCGGTAGTTGTGATACTGCAGATGATAATGGCACAGGAGATTAGAGAATGGGTACACTACTGGCACCCGATTACCGAAATACCTTGAGACAAATGTAGGGACTGCCTTTGGGGCGTTGACCCCCTTGGCCCTAAGAAATTGTCGGTCTTTCCAATTTACAGCAGTGCCACGGACGACACCCTTGGCAGCGTGACGAGAGTACGACTGTCAAAATAGGCATTATTGATTGATTGGAAGAACTGTGTCCGTGTGCTCGCCAATACATCAGATTTATTTGAGAAGGAGGGGCTACACTAACATCCGGTTGATTGCAAAAAAGACTTTTGGGTTGACGAAGCGCATACTTCTCAGGCACTTGTAGAAAGCTCTCAAAACTTTAGGCATCTGCCTAAAAAATTTATGCTTTCTCCGTCTTTTACAAAGAGGCAGGTGCTTGAAGCAACGATAGAACTCAAAATACTCGAAACGACAAGCGGCAACTGTAATAATTTAATTAGCTGCATGACAGAAGTCGAAGTTGCTGATTCAGTGTTGGGTGAAGTGTCATGAGAGGCATGCTTAGTTGCTCATCAGTACTGAAGAATTGGATGGGAACCAGAGCGAAGATTACTCATAAGATCAAGTCAGATGCAAATTGCTGTACTGGTAGCTCCATATTCAATTCTTTACAGGTAAGATGCGATGAGGTCAAACTAACCGAAGGGTTATGTCAACGTGTAGTAG